CATCGTATTATTGTACCTACTACTTATGAGTATAACCAGGCTGCAGAAGGTCAACCCATAGTTAGTAAAGTAAATGATGATTGGGAAGAAGAGTATGAAGATGAAGAATTAATCCTTTATGAAGCATATAACTTAGAAGCAGAACCTGTCAATACAGAAGACTCAGGATAGACTGTATATCAACGCAAAACTAGGCCCTCTCGTAAAAAAAAGCAAGGATGTAGAACATGTGAACAAACTAATCATTATTTTGAGGATTGCTCTTTTAATAAGTGTTGGCGATATAATGATTATGGATATATTGCTGCTCAATGTCCCTATCAGAAATCTAAACGAACTACCTGTGCTACTTGTAGTCAATCTACGCATCGATTTAAAGATTGTCCTGAAAATGAATGTAGAAGATGTGAAGAAAGAGGTCATATTAGTACTGATTGCCCCAGAAACAAACTTGAAATAGAAAATAAAAAGTATCAATGTGGTTGTAATGAACAAGAAGTTGCTAACTGAAGGGCATATTTCCACAGCAAGAAGAGGAAGCATCATTGCTATCAATGCAAGTATCCTCAATTTGATGATAAATTAATGCTACTAGAAGGGACTCTAGTCTGCAAAGCATGCTATAAGGACTATCATGAAAATTTAAATCGAGAAGATCCTAGAAGCCAGTATTACTATGAATATGGATTAGGAAGAAGAATCTTGGTTAAATGTACTGTGTATAAGGAGAAAAATCCTAGACACAATATGCATAATCTACCAAATGGAACTTGGTTTTGTAGCTTTGAGCATATATATGCTTATAAAGCTAGTGAAGATGTTAAATATAACCCCAACTATGATTTGTGGACTAGAATTAGACATTATACTGAGTCTAACAAAAGTGCTGGAAGTTATTATAATATGAACCAGGATAGTATTTATCGCCTAGCTCAAACTCTACTAGGTATCACATCTCAAAGTATTGCTCAAGCAGAGGAAAAGCAAGAAACAGACAGATATAATAGAGAATTTACAAGTGAGGAATTAACTCTTCTTTTCTGTGTTGGTGAAATACAATTAATTACTGAAGAAGAACAACAATTAAATCAAATTTTGGCTAAGTCTTTTGATATATCACATGCTGATTTTGACCACCAGC